GAAGGCTGTGCTCATTGATCTTCATCAGTAAGTGTTTTAAGACTTCTTCACTTTCAGCAAGCAAGGTTATATTATCTGCGTATCTTTCTGATAATTCTCTGCTTTTAGCCAAGATCCATCAGACATCAGCAATGATATCCCTCATCCCACGGCCTCGTCTCAAGTTCAGAAGTTCAAAACTATAAGCTGTTCCACGGGAGAGAGATGAAGCTTTCTGATTCCATAAAGATTTATAGCCTCAGAAATCCTATGCAGGGTTGCTATGAGTGGGAACCGACTCCACAGCATGACACTACCATTATATATTTATAACCTAGGACATGTCATATGTTGTTGTTAAATGCTGTCAACTTGGTTACAAATCATAGGGTTTTCCAAGGAGTAGCTTCTGGATTTGAAATGCCAACCTTGTGTTTCACAGTTCAGTTATTATGTTATCAGTACCATACCAGGAGTTCACATATCATATAGTATATGTTTAAAAATATTTTTCAATGAATGAGTAAGGGTTGGGCTGGTTTACAGAAATCATTAGGAAACAGGCATTACAGCTATTCATAAGGCCTCATTACAGTTATTCAAAATGCCTCATATTTATATTTATATTGTCATTGCAAGCAGCCCAGTTAAGAATGATGAATATTTTTTGAGTAAAAATTTGAATCTAGATTTTGGTGTAAAGAGAACAAGATGCTGGACTGACATATAACATCACTTGAATCAAACATTATTTGAAGATATTCTTAGTCTAAAAAGCTATGTATTTTAAATGAATCTGATTTTGAGTGCTTTTCCAAAGTTTTTGCACTTCCTAGGTTACCACAGAAGAGTTGTGGGATGACATAAAGAACATCACACAGGAAGAAAGCAAAAGACATTAACAAAACAAAAAACAAGGAAAAGACCAAAATGGATGCCAGAGGAGACTCTCAAACTGACCCTACATAGTTGAGATCCTAAAACAAATGCAAGAAATGAGGAAATAAAAGAGCTGAACAGAAATTTCAAAGTATGGCTTGAGAAGCAACATCAAGTATTACAATGAAATGTGCAAATACCTATGTTAGAAGACCCCAAGTGAAAAACATGCTCATCATTTTTCAAACAGAAAAAACGATGTGCAATATTGAAGGATTCTATGGACAAATATTAAATGATGCAAAAAGCATCTAAAGAAGATGGAAGGAATACACAGTCATTGTACCAGAAAGAAATGGTCGCTGTTTAACCAGTTCAAGATGTAGCATATCCATCAACTAGCAATGGTACTAAAGGAACAGTTAACATATGATCAACAGCCAATGGTTCTAAGTCCAAGGTGCCCTGAAGGCATTGGCAAAAACCAAGCCTCCACGGATTGATGGCATACAAATTGAAATCTTTCAACAAACTGATGCAGCACTGGTAGCATGCATTCCAAGAAATTTGGGAGACAACTTCCTGGCCAACTGATTATTGTTAAGTGCCGTGGAGTCAGTTCCAACTCATAGCGACCCCATACATGGTTTCTGAGGCTGTAAATCTTTACCGGAGCAGAAAGCCCCATCTTTCTCCCATGGAACAGCTGGTAGTTTCGAACTGCTGACCTTGTGATTCACAGCCCAATTCCTAACCACTACACTACCAGAACTGATCATAGTGATACATATTTGTTTCCATCCCAAATCACTCTGTGGAACGTGGATATCATCAGACAATATCATTACTATATCATACAAGTAAAATTTTGCTAAAGATAATTTTAAAATGGCTGTAACCTACATTGACAATAAAGTGCCAGAGGTTCAATCCAGATTCAGAAGAGGATGTGGAATGAGTGATATCACTGTTGACATCAGATGTATCTTGACAGAAAGCAGAGAATACTAGAGAGATGATTACCTGTGCTTTATTGATTACACAAAGGCTTCTAACTGTGTGGACTATAGCAAGTTATGGACAACATTGTGGAGAATGAATACTCTGGAACACTTAATTGTGCTCATGAGGAACCTGTACATAGACTAAGGGGCAATAGTTCGAACAGAACAAGGGGACTGAATGTTTTAAAATCAGGAAAGATGTGTGCCAAGGTTGTATTCTTTCACCATACTTATTCAATCTGTTTATTGAGTAAATAATCAGATAAATTGTACTATATGAATAATAACATGGCATAAGGATTGGAGGAAGACTCATTAACAATCTGTGACATGCAGATGATACAACCTTGCTAAATGTAAAGATGGCTTAAAACTACTTATTGATGAAGATCAAAGACCATTACCTCTGGTAAAGGAAACAAAAATCTTCACAACTGGACCAACAAATAATATCATGATGAATGGAGACAAAAATTGAAGTTGTTAAAAGACTTCATTTTGCTTGAGTCCACTATCAACACTTATGGAGACAGCAATCAAGAAACTAAATGATGTACTGAATTAGGCAAGCTATTAAATAAGACCTCTTTAAAATGTTCAAGAGCAAAAGATGTCAGTTTTGAGGACTAAAGTGAGTCTGACCCTAGCCATGTTATTTTCAGTAACCTCATATGCATGTGAAAGCTGGACAATGAGTAAGGAAGATCGTAGAAGAATCAATGCATTTGAACTATGATTTTGAAGAAGAATACTAAATGTATGATGGAGTGCCTTAAGAACAAATAAATCTGTGTTAGAAGAGGTACAGTCAGAATGTTCCTTACAGGCTAGGATGGGGAGACTTATTCTTTCATACTTCAGATTTCTTATTAGGGGGACTAGTCCCTGGAGAAACACATCATACTCGGAAAAGTGAAGGGTCAGAGGAAAAGAGGAAGACTCCCAACAAGATGGATTGGCATATTGGCATCACCAATATGCTCAAACTTAACAGGGATTGTGAGGATGGTTCAGGACCAGGCAGTTTTTCATTCTGGTGTGTATAAGGTCACTACGAGTTGGAACTGACTTGAGTTAAAGCACTGGACCTCAAGATAAGTTTGAACAAAAAGGTTGAGGTTCAAACTTACCAGCCCGGAAGCTCCTTGAAAAACCTATACAGTGTCATTACAAGTTGGTACCGACTGCACAGCACTTAACAACAACAGCAATAAGTACTGCATACCAATAAGTACTACTGAGATGATTAACTTGTAACCCACCTAGTAATAGTGTAATTAAAATTTTATTTTTCACTTTGATTACTTTTCTATTTAACATTTATTTAAATTAACAAAATATAATCTTCAACTTACATTTATTTTTATGCACTGGCATTTATGCTAAGGAGTCCTGGTGGCACAGTGGTTAAGGCCTTGGCTGCTTACCTAAAGGTTGGCAGTTTGAATCCATTAGCTGCTTCATGAAAGAAATATGTAGTAGTTTGCTCCTATAAAAATTATAGTCTTAGAAGCCCTCTGAGGCTGTTCTACTCTTGCTTATACAGTGATTATGAGTGATAATGTACTTGAACAGGTTTGGGTTTGGTTTTGGTGATATTTATACTATCTGCCAAACAGTAGACAGGTGTGGAGTTATGTATACCTACCTAGTACCTATTGTTAAGTCACATGACTAAGAATGCATTTACATTTTCTGAATACTATTAGTATCATAATAGAATAAGACTATATACAAGTGATAAAATAACATGGAAAAAGTGTATAGTTCGGTGATATGTTGGCTTATAGTTCTTAAAACTTGTTTGATGGCACCTATATTAAAAGCTTCTTAAGAAGTAGAGGCCACAAATAAAATGAAATCATTTCAATATGCTCACAATTAACTTGTGTATTGAATGTAAAAATATAACATTGAGTATGAAAATACAAAAAAACTGTGTCTTTTTTGTTTTTGTTTTTAAATAATGTAAGTATAATTACAAGAAAATGCAAAGCAAGAATACATATATACCATGCATACATTGCTTTATAGGCAATATTAAGATTATGGAAAAATAAAAATAATATATACATACACATATATGTACATTTATAAGAAAGGCACATTATTTTAACATTTATATACAAAGTGAAATTATCTTAATATATTTGATAAGTGAATATCAAATTTTCTAGAATATTATTCTCTATTATGATTCAAACATTAGTTAACTGATTCCTCATAGATGTGTGTACTGACCTGTCTCCTTTGAAGAAATAGGTTTTGCCAACATCCTCCCACCAGATGGCTGAATCAATACCATGAGGGGGGATTCCACTTCCAAGAGTAATCAAGTCATGTGGATAACCAGGTTGAAGAGTAGTGTCTTTAAACACCCAATATTTGTTACCTATGTGAAATAAATGTAAATTCATAATACATTAATTTAATATCCAAAATTATTGGTATATACACATATATGTGTATATACACATATTTACATATGTATATTTACACAATGAATATAAAATTCTTGCACACTAAATTCATGAAATAATTCAGTAGTGGTTGGTGACATCTGGAATGGCAACATTATTAAGTTTATATTGTGAATTGAGTGAGAGTTTATATGAGAGAACATCAGTTTTACACTCATGGTTTCACTGCTCTGATTACAATCTCTTTTGTGCATCATTATTCAAGAGTATTTGCCTATGGATTTTTTTTTTTTTTCCCTGGGGGGAGATGTACACAAAAATACTCAGGAATATATAATCATTTAAATAACCATAGGGCACATCCTGGCCACCAGCACACAGCCTTTCTTGTTCTATGAGTCTAGAGTCCTCAGCTGCTCTATATCTCCATGTCCTCATCTCTGCCTCCATCTCTGATGTCACTGCTTCTCTGGATAGGGTCCCACAATCTGCTTGGGCTCTTCTCCCTTGATGGTCCTAGGGTCCTCTGTTCCTGGACTAGAAGATAAACTATTTCCAACTTTTTGTTAAAAAAACTTCTACCTTTACATTTGTGACAGTTACATTTAGTCATGAAAATTATTATTACTAACTATTGCATCATAAGACTCTTATCCCCATCTCCTTTCACCAGATGCATCTAGACAAGATGAAAACTATTCAGAGGAGATTCTACCTTGCACACTCTGAAACTCCCTCTTGAAAACTTGTAAGCCAGTCACTATGTGCTTTTATAGTCCCACCCCTCAATTTTAGGTAGCTAATATCTAAGTCGCCCATCCCTATCAACTCTGTATCCAGAGGGGATAGGATTGATACTTGATTTGAAGACCCCTTCCCCCTCAGTTGGTATTTTGAGCTACTTCATCCTTAAGTTTAGCAAATTGTAGCAATTTGCATGTTTCCTTTATCAAAAAAAAAAAAAAAAAAATCTTCCTCTAGTCAAGTTCTGATCTCAAAGCTAGCTTGAATGGGTACTATTTACAAGTTTAGGCATTCTTGTGCATCTGCCCTCACTTCATATCAGCTGGACCCTTCACTCTCAGCTCTAGCCCTCCATGACTACATCCTTGTCCATGGGCTCATGAGTTCCCAGGTCTCACCACACTTCGGACCAACCAGCCCTTCCTCTTCTTTCTCTCATTTCCAGGTCTACGGGAATCTACGGAATATGGTAGAACTCAGTCCATATCTTCTTGCTGCCTTCCCCCCTCTTCCACTCACCAGTAGACCAAAGTGGTCACCAATGAGCTTGCTCATGTGTTTCCTTTGAGTTTGTCTTGGAGGGGGGTTGCAACATTATTTTTGAAACATCATTGTAAATTTTCAAAAGTGCTTAAAGAATTATTTAATCATGTAATTTGATTTTGTGAGTTAAGAAATAAAACAGATCTACAATTTACAAATAATGAAACAAATCTGAATCCAGGATCAAAGATTCTTCCTTGAGTAATCAGAGGCCCATTTCTGTTCAAGGTAAGGGCCTGTTCCTTCAGTGATCATAACGTCTATAATCGTAACTTCATTTTGGTTCTTTCCTTTTATTATACAAATATTTACAGATCTGAGAAGCAATAGGCAGATGATACAACCTAGCATGCTTGAAGTAAAGATGATTTAAATTACTGATGAACATCAAAGACTATAGCCTTCAGAATAGATTGCAACTGAGTGTGAAGAAAACAAAGATCCTCATAATTGGAGCAATAAATAACATCAGGATAAATGGAGAAAAAATTGAAGTTGTCAAAGACTATTTTGCTTGGATCAACCATCAACACTCATGGAAGAAGCAGTCAAGAAAAGCAAATGAAGTATTACATTAGGCAACTCTTCTACACACGACCTCTTTAAAGTATAGTATAGCAATGATGTCAGTTTGAACACTAAGGTGCGCCTGACCCAAACTACTGTATTTTTAATGACCACGTATGCATGTGAAATTTGGAGAATGAATAAGGAAGACCATAGAAGAATCAATATATTTGAGTTATGGTGTTGGAGAGAAATACTGCAAGTACCATGGACTGCTAGAATAACAAACAAATCTGTGTTGGAAGAATGCTTCTTAGAACCCAGGAAGGTAAGACTTCCGATGCCACACTTTAGAAAGTTTTTTAGGAGGAACCAGTCTCTGGAGAAGGATATCAAGCTTAGTAAAGTAGGGGAGGGGGGTCAACAAGAAACAGGAAGACTCCAAAGAGATAGATTGACACAGTAGCAGAGCAATGGCCTCAAACTTAAGAACAATTGTGAAGCTCAAATTTAAGAACAATTGCAGGGCTGGGCAATGTTTCTTTCTGTTGTGTTAGGAGTTGAACCAACTCTACAGCACCTAGCAATAACAATAACTAGTCTTATAAACTTCTTTACCTTTGTCTATGTGTTGTCTTCAAACTGTGACACTATTCCTCTTTTTATAGAGTGGTAACTGAAGGGAGGAGAATTTTAAGCTTCAATATACATAAATCAGACTCTAAAATAACTAAAGAGAGAAATGGACAACTATACAGTAATGTTGTTGTTCTTAAGTACCATCAAGTCTGTTACAACTCATAGTGACCCTGCAGAGGATTTCCGAGGAGCTGCTTATGGTTCAAACCATTATCCTGCAGCACCACACCAGGACTCCATACAGTAATTGTGGTAGTGGTGGTTATGTGCCATGGAGTCAGCTCTGGTTTCCGAGGCTGTAAATCTTTATAGGAGCAGAAAGCCTCATCTTTCTCCCACGAAACAGCTGGTAGTTTTGAACTGCTGACCTTACGGTTCATATCCTGATTCGTAACCACTATGCTACCAGAGCTCCTTATTATAGGAGACTTTAATACACCACTTTCAGTGAAGGACAGTAAGGAAACTAGAGGGGAACTCAACAAAACACATAGCCGAACAACACAATCAACCAACTTGAACCCTGATGTTCTTTGGAATTTCTGATGTATGGAAATATTCAAAAGCAGAAAGATTTCAATCTGTTTGATAGCTGTTTTCAACTTCTCTACAGACAACATGCTTCCCCCTGATCTGCTCAATTGACAGATTGTGCCCACCTCTCCCCTCTTTTCTGTGACTTCTTTTAGTCTCCCTGCCTCCAATCTGTCTCCGTTTTATTTATTTTCTACTGCTTGAAGTTCATACTGGATTATGCCTCTCTTTTGTTTAATTTTTTAAAAAATTGTTTCTCGTTTGATTCAGGAAAAAATATAAGTTTATGTACAAGCTGTCTTATGGTTCTACTCAATATATGATTCCATTTACCTCCATTTCTTGGAAACTGATACAAATCTCTCAAAACTAAGCTTGACATAATCATGCTACAAAGTGTTTCCTATATGAGTAACATAGGTCCTTAAATTGTTGGAGTACCCCATCTTTATCTTATATTACTTAGTCCACTGGGTCTTAATGAATCACAAGTCTGCTACCCACTCCGGGCTGAGCAACTTGAAGACAGATTTTATATCTGATGCATTGTATTATAGTAGCACTCGACATAATACTTGAGAAGTTGTCTTGTGCCATTGAGTCAGTTCCAACTTACAATGACCCTGTATTGGGCTTCTAAGGAGTAGCTGGTAGGTGTGAACTGCTGAGCTTGTGGTTCGAAGTTCAGTGCTAATCATAAGGGCTTAATAAATGGTTACAGATTGAAAACACCATGTTTAAGTTGGCATGAATAACCAAATATTAACAAGACATTATTTCATCAAACTTATTCAATCTGTATGCTTAGCAAATAGTCTGAGAGGTTGGATTATGCAAAGAACATGATATCTGGATTGGAGGAAGACTTACTAACAATTTGCCATATGCTGATTACACAACCTTGCTACCTGGAATTGAAGAGGAATTAAAATACTTACTGATGAAGATCAAAGCCTACAGTATGGATTGTACCTCATGTAAAGAAAACAAAAATCTTCACAAATGGACCCAAGATGTCAGTTTGAGGGCTCAGTTAAGTCTGTCCCAAGCCATGGTATTTTTAATAGCTTCATATGCATGTGAAAGTTGGACAATGAATAAGGAGAAGAATGGACACATTTGAACTATAGCATAGGTGAAGAATACTGAAATTGCCATGGATTGTCAGATGACCAAAGAAATCTATGTTGGAAGAAGTACAGACAGAATGTTCCTTTGAAGCCATGACAGAAGCCATGACAGTAAGTTCAAGAGTTCATCTCTCATATTTCAGACATATTATCAGGAGGGACCTGTTGCTGGAGAAGGATGTCATGTTTGGAAAAGTGGAGGATCAGCAAAAAAGAAGAAGACCCCCTAACAACATGGACTGACACAGTGGCGGCAATCCTGGGCCAAACACATAGCAATAATTGTGAGGATGGGACAGGATTCAGAAGTGTTTCCTTCTGTGTGCATAGGTTCGCTATGAGTTGGAATCAAATCAATGACACATAATAACAATAACATGAAATGAATAATCAAATATTATTCTATTATGGTATAATATATATTGCCTCTGGGTGGTAAAAATGAGTAACACACTTGGCTGCTAACCAAAAAGTTAGAGGTTCAAGTCCACTCAAAGGCACAATGGAGAAAGGCCTGGTAAACTACTTTCATAAAAATTGGCTATTCTGTATGATTTTTACCTCAATTTAAAGAAAACAAAAGTGTTCACAACTGGACCAGTTAACAGCATAATGACAAAGAGAGAAAAAATTAAAGTCCTAGAACTATGGAGCATAGATCTCCTCTGACACACATGGGGGTGCCATGAGTTAGGGTCAAGTCAGCTCAAGAAAATTTGTTAACAGACTAAGAAATACAGCATCAAACATCTAGCTGAGACAATAAAAACTTCCTAACTGTTGAATCATTTCATTATGTATAGCATTAATTTTATATTTTGCTGTTGTTGTTCGTAAGTGCCCTCGAGTCAAGTTCTGACTCATAGGAACCCTGT